AGGGCCCGGAGCGCGCGGCCTGCGCGATCACATGATGGGACCAGCCCGGGCGGTCGGGCCCAAGGACCCCGCGGGCGCCCGCCGCGCCGCAATTGCGCGCGCCCGCCGCCCCGGACCCGCGCCCCGCAGCCCCGCAGCCCCTCAGCCCGGACCCCGAGCGGCCGCGCGCACGCACTCACGTCCGCGTCCCCGCCGCAGGCCTCGCGCCGCCACAGCCAGAGTGGGCTGGACGGGCGGGACTGCGCCTGCGCCGGAGGCCTCCCGCCCCGCCCCCGCCCCCGGACCCCGTCCCCGCCCCCGGGCCCCGCCCCTGATGCCTCCAGCCCCCTGCGCCCCGGTGCGCGGCTTGATCCAGCTTCCACGTGGGGTCAGCTGGCCTTGACCCGCGTTGGCACCGGCTAGTGGGGGTCCCAGCGCACCCTCCCACCCCTTCCACGAGGACTGGCCCCGGGTGAGAGCGTAACTGCTCACTCCTTCGTCCTACGGGCGGTCCCCAGGGGACTCTGGCTCACCCCCCCTCCTCTGCCCCAGGGACGCCCTGGCCCCCACTCTGGCAGAAGGGCAGACATCTCTGCAGGTCAGGTACGCACTGCAGGCAGGCCGAACCCGAGGAGCTCCAGAAGCTGCCTGCCCAAGCATTGTTTAGTGATGGGGCCTCAGAGGAGCTGGGCTGGGTTGGTGACCCGGCCGCAGGAAGGCCTGAACCACACCAGGAGGGAAGAAGCCTCTCCGGCCTGCTGCCTCCTCCGGCCCCTTCAGGTTTGCACCTGCCCGGTGCTGGGCTGCCGACTGCAGCTCCAGTGCATCCACCCAAGGGGGACAAAGGGAGGGGGGAAGCTTCCGGGCTGAGGGATGTTCCTCACCCCAGCAGCACGGGTGCCAGTTCCCAGCCGCATCACGTTCCCTCAGGGGTGCCCCAGCTCCATGGGGCACCCCTTCCCGGGGCTCCTGAGGCCCAGGGCCACCCAAGTAACACCTGCTCTAGGTGGCCGTGAGGCCGGCCCTCCTCCGAGCTCTGAATCCTAATCAGCGACCCTCCTCCAAGCAGCCAAACCCAGACTCCAACTTCCTCCCCCTACCCTGCCCCCGCCCCTCGCCGACTTAGGGATGGCAGCTGCTTCCTCCAGTGACTGTTACCTCAGTGCTCCCTTTTTGCTCTTTCAGCCCTGGAATACCCTCAATTACATTGTTACAATAACTAACACAGTCCCTAGTACCCAGAGTAGAGTTCTCTTCCCACCCTCTGGCCCCCACGTGTCCTACCAAGGCATCTCCAGTACGTGTCTGGCTCATCAGTCCCAGAGTTCTTGGTGAGGCACACAGGAGGGATGTTCTGTGGGATGCTAGGATGACAACCCGTGGCCCGGGGACTGCAGAGAGCAAGCGTGTGTACATGGCCGAAGGCAGGGCCGCGACGGTGTGCTGCCAGCTCGACCAAGTATCAACAGAACAAAGATTCCGGTGGTCCCTGCATATTGGCACTGGCCAGATCAACACCTACCTGCCACCTGCCAAGAGCATACGTTCTGCTCTGGTAACCATGCCCTGCCAGGAATAGCAGCTGCAGCGGGGTCTCACCCACATCTTCAGTAAACCATACTCCTTAAGAGCCACCCACTTCTTCCCAGGTAAGTTAATGGGGTGTGCTAGGAACATCACCCCTGACCTTCCCGCGAGGAGACATCCTGCCTTTGGATTATGCCCTGGCAGGGAGAGGACACTCCAGGCCTTCCACCTGGCCCTTCCTACCGTGACGACCCTCACTCCACAGGTCAACGTGGCCATCCTGCCAGCCATTACGTCTATTTCAATGACACACTCAGGCACTGGGAAGGTAACCACAGAGGGGCCTGTGGACCCATCCAGACAAACGTTACCTAACCACCTGATTGCCGTGGGCCCTCACTTTGACCAGACCAATGGCATCCTGGACCTCTGGGAATCAGCAACAGTGCAGATTAGCACCCCACCCCCAAAACAAAGAGCTGGTGCCTCCTTTTCCCAGGCAGGCAGCCCTGGTGTGCGTGGAGCAAGATGGTGCAGGGAGAGGAGTCACAGGCCTTCCTCCAGAGCCGAAGGCTCCCCTCCAGCCAAGGACCCGAGTCTGTGAACCAGGCTTCATCTGGAAAATGGTTGCCTGGCGGTGCTCTCCCAACCCACTGTGACCAGGCTGGGTTTCTGGACCCTGACTGTTAGCACTCGTCAAGGGAACATCCTAAGAGTTGTTTAGTTCCCACAGGGCCTTGGAGCCCAAGCAGGCCTAGAGGGTGAAACTTCTGTTCCAAAGGAAGCGCCTTAAGCCTCTAGAAAGCAACCCACAGCACTCTAACCACTTATCTTTCCTGTGAGCTTGGGGACCAACTTGTGACGCCACAACACAGCTGAGGCCCAAGGCTGTCCACCAAGGTGCGGCCGGGGGTCCTGCCCAGGCCCGTGGCAGTGACACACCCCCTCTGGTCCACTGCACATCCCCTTCAAAATGCCACACAGGATGTACTTCTCATCTCCGGACACGATGAAGTTTTATCGTTTCCCGAAAGGATGCATTCTCAAATGTTCCAAAAAATACTTTATTCATTAAACAATATATCCATAATCTATAACATGATCCAAAAATACAGATATACATCTTTACATTATTTAATAAAAAGATTTACAATATTATCTTTCCTTTACAAAGAGAACATCAATAATAATTCCTTGAAAATACAATGTAACATTCATGTTAAAGCTGCATCATTTTGGATGAGATGTGGTATGATGAACACCACAAATACACACTAGGAAGGAACTTCACAGAACTCTCTCCTGAACGGGAACACTTTTCTTAGATGTCCTATTTTAAAATTCCTCTCGACACAGGTAATGAAGACCAACCACTGTTCACTGAAACTTGAGGAAAACCTGAAACCTTCCACGCCGTGACAAGTGTCCCAGCCCCGCACCAGGGCAGGCCCTGGCTGTGGCTACACGGGGAAGCTGCTCTTCAGACAGCGTTATTGCTCGAAGCGGTCCTCGCCAAGGGCTGCCAGCGATGGGTCAGGAGGCAGGACTGACACGCAGTTCGCCACTGTCCCCACACACCCCTGCAACTCCCTCACATCCACCCCGTCACTGCTGCCTGGGGCTGCGTCCGGCGTCTGCTGCCCTGGGCAGACGGGAAGCCACCCGGCTCACGTGGCCCTGCCAGCACCAGGTTCATGTCCACCTGCTCGGGGGCCCAGCCTCCAGTGGGGACAGTCACACAGGCCTCGGTGTATGCGTCCCAGCCACGAGCCCCACGAGCTTGGCCACAGGGGCGGGGGGCTCAGTTTAACACCTGCTTTTATTGGTGCAGCACGTGTTCTCCTGCAGGAAAACAAGAGGATGTTTCTCCAACTGCCGGCAGATAAGACAGCACTGGAAACAAGGGAACGACTCTGCTTCTCCTCTGCATGAGAAACCTCTTCCCTCACAAGTAAGCCCCACGGCCACAGAGGGCCGGCACTCTCGCTCGCTCAGAAATGCTGCGACGGCCCAGGGCAGCCTCCACCTAGGTGATGGTCGGGTGGGGCTCCAGAGCAGCCTCCAGCATCAGCCCCGGAGCCCGGCGAGCATCCTGATGAAGGCGGCAGGCCTCAGACGACACCGCAAGCGGCGTGGGCTCCAGCCGACCCCTCGGGCCAGGACGTTCCCGACCACATGGCCACCAAGTGTCTTCTGTCATGGGTAGCACTGGTGTTCGGGGAGGCCAGACAATGCTCCAGGGACTCTTTCTACTCTGCTCCTGTTTTCCGTTTTCTCCTAAGCTACGTGCATATTATTTTGGTGATATTATTGTAACCAGCAAAAAGTAAACACTAGAAACATATAAGCACAGAAACTTTAAAAAAAAAAAAAAAGGTCCTCACGTGGGATGTTACACAGTGACAAGCAGGATGGTACCATCGGACTTTAAACAAAAGCTTAAGACAGAGAAGTTGGTCATCCTGCCTGGGAAACGACCGCGGCCTCAGGAAACCAGGTGAGAATCCCAACTGAATCAGCCAGCAACCCACATCCACAAACACCATCGCTTTCCCGCAATAACAGCGGGTGTGAAGTGTTCACAGATGAAGTGCAAATATTAAATTAGCTTCTAAAGAATCACCACAAGCTTACTGTACTTACCTATCTTCTCCACAAAAACTGGTAAAAGGGTGAAGAAAATTTTTTTTTCCACATTTATTCCCCACAATCCTTAAACACCTGTATTAACAAAACCCTAAGTTATTAAATACCAACGCCCCTGGGTTTCCAGCCAATGCTGAGACTGAGGGTGCTGACAGCACTCGTCCGGACACGGCCCCCCTTCTCTGGGGCAGCAGAATGGCATCGGGTCTAGAAAGCCATGTGGCTCCGGGATCCCCTAGGGACAAGCTGCAGCAGCGGCCGACCCCCTACCCCACCCCCGGCCCGAGACTGGACAGGCCACACGTGCTGAACCGACCTGCCCACGGTCATCTTGGATCAAGTGCCACTCCGTCAGCTCCCTCCAGAAAGGACAGAGTCGGACACGGGGCGCAGGCAAAGCCCCACTGGGAAGCTCAGATGCAGACCCCAGCCAGACCCTGCTTTCATCTGCTGAATATTAACTAACTCTGCGGGATGGCCCCGTCTACGACACAGCCTCACAGGTTCCCTTCTGCTTTCTTTCCTCTCCTTGGTGAATATTAGAAAATAGGAGGAGCATCTATAGTAACAAGGCCTCAGGAGGAAGCGGGTGTATCATTCCAGATGGCCTTCCTTATAAAGAAAACAAGGTTCTTCGAAATTGGGAATCTCAGCCCCAAGTCTGTCTCATGGACTTCTGGCCTGAACACAGAAGCAGGTTTCCCCTTCCATAAATGCACGCCGGAGGCTCTCAAGTCCGAGGACACCTGCAGAAGTCACGCTTTCTGGACCATCATGACACACGGAATCAACACACCAAAGGTACGCAACCTCCCCCAACTGTTACCAAAAAGACGGTTCAAAGTCGGTTTGGTGAATGCTGTTTAAAGAGAAAGGACACTCTAGTTTCCTAGCTTCATCCAGAATTGCTATTGTGGCACAAGAAATTCACAAATCACATCACATAATTGTCTCCTTGATCTAAGCTGCTCATCTGCTGTGCAAATGAACAGGTTTCAAATCAGCCCCTAGCGGCTTGGACTCACTCCATATTCACACAGACCACTATCTTCATGCTACCACGATAATTCATCTTCACAGTAAAAATGCCAGGAATTCCCAGGGAAACAGAACATCAGCCCGTCTGCTGGGCCGTCTCTTATCGTTCGCTAATGGAGAGCCGTTTACTCCAGAAAGTAAACCCCTCATGGAGGGAAGTGGGAGTCCAGATGAAAAGGCAGTGCACAGCGAAGCTGAGACCCCTGCCCGCCCCGGGGAGAGCCGGCCCCTCCCAGGCTCGTCACCAGGCTCCACATGCACCGCTCTCAGTGAGGGTCAGAGGCGCCTGCAGTGGTGCCGGGCTCTCGGGGAGCAGCCCCGGGAAACCACAGACAGATGACCAGGGCTCACACCTCCAGCTGCAAAGCGATGGCAGTGTACCAGGCACGCACACCCCTCGAAGTCCTGGGGCCACTCGCTGTGACCGCCATGCTTGGGGCCAGGGGTCTGTACGAAAAGTCATGAGAATGGAGTCACTGTGGTAAGTCCCCTAGGGGCACTCCTCTGGGCAACAGGGCTCAGGTGGCTTCTTGTTTGTTTTAGGAAATATCCAGAATTACAACTGGCCATTGAGTTATTAAATATCATTGGAAACAAGGTCGTTTTAAAATGAAGATAAAATATTGCGACGTGAATGAAGGGATGTATTAACGTGCTCTTCGGGTCCGGGCGTCCGCCTCTTCCTTACTTCTTCTTCCTCCTTTCCTGAACACACCGTGGACAGAACCTGTGATGAGAAAGGCACAGTGAGGGGCCCTTTGCACGTGGGCAGCCAGACCCCATTTCCAGGATGGCTGGACGCTGCTGAAACGGCACCAGGACAGAGACCCACAAACGCAGAGAGCGCAGCCTTCCCATCGGGGAAAAGCCCCCACACGGGCCATTCCATCCAGCATGTCTGTTCTAAAGTCGGTGGATAAGATTCGGGTCGGCGAGCAGCATGGTGCTTACACACGGGCATTCCTCTGGATCAAGCTCACGGGTCCTCCCTGTGCGATGACAGCGCCACTGGGACCAAACTGGAGGCGGGCAGTCGGGCGGGGCCCCTTAACCTGGCAGAGTAGCAGAGCCCCGCCCGCCCCACGGGGCTGAGCGGGCCCTGGTGGCCCTGGGCGAGCAGGTTCCAGAGCCAGAGACACAGGGGGCTGCTCTGGGTCCCTCCTGGGCCCTGGCAGCCCCGTAACAGAAGGGAGGCAGCTGATCCTGTGTGATGCAGCTGCCCCGGCCCCGGCCACCAGCACCTGGTCCAGGCCAGCGAGTGAGCCTGGCCCTGCCGGGCCCTGGGGTGGAGGGCAACGCTGCACCAGCGAGCACGGGGTGCAGACTCCCAGACACGGGCTCAGGTCTCAGACCTAGGCGGGAAGCAGCCTGCTCTCTGCCATCTCCCAGGGGAGCCCAGGGAAGTCGGGAGTTAGACAGCAGCGGGCTGGGGCCGCGGCGCCCTGGCTTCCCGGCCGGCTCTGCGCGTCCCGCCCTGTTCCCAGCAAGTGGTGGGCAGACCCCCTCCTCCCAGAAGGAAATGATTTTCCAGTGCCTACTAGACTCTTCCACCCAGAAGTCCCACAAACAATTCGAACCCACCACGTCCCAGTCAAACTCAAATCGCCCTCCCTGCCTCCTGTTCCCGGGACCTCGCTTCAGCGCAGGTCAGCAAAACCAGATTTCTATGCACACTAAAGCTGCCGCTGCCCACTGAACACAGGACAGGATAGACGGCGCCATGACCCAGGGCACGTCTTCTCGACGGAACGGAAAGCCCGCGGCACTGAGGGTGCCTGGCCTGCGCCCGGCCAAGACCTAGTTAACGTTCTTCGTGTTTCATCAAAGCTCCCCGGGGAAGAACTCCTCATTCTCTGTTTGCATCTGTAATCATCTCTGCCTCACTCAACAGTCAGAATGGCCGTGGCTTGGGGGAACAGGAAGTGCAGGTCACCTTCGATCAAGGCAGGGGTTGAAGCACCGACTCTTTGCACAGTCGACTTACAGTCGGCCGTCCAAACCCGCGGTTCCTCCACACCGCAGATCCAACCCACTGGGAATCACGGAGCACAGCAGTATTTACCATTGAAAAATAACTGCATCTAAGCAGTTCAAACCCATGTTGCTCACAGGTCCCTACATTATGCAAACGTAATAAAAGCCGCGACCCCGTGTGAGGCGGGTGGGTGTACCCTGCAGCTCGGCCCCAGGGACCACGACCAGTGGCAGCAGGCAGGCCCCCAGCCCAGCCGCTCACCCAGTTCTTCAGGAAAGCCGGCGCCCATACTGACCATTTTCCTTTGGGCTTCGTGGTCAGGTCCACACAGGCGAAGTGAAACCACTCGATGGGGCACTGCAAGGCGAAGGAGGTGGTGGTCAGCCCCGCGCTCCGGGTGCCACCCGGGCGCCACCCGCCCCGAGGGCGCCACCCCAGGCCTCAGCGAGGCCCCACTCACATCCGGGTTGTCACAGCCAATCATCTCCCCGTAGGACACCTGGTGGCACAGGCAGTAGGTAGGCTCGTTTGGGTCCACGGGCATGTCCAGCACGTCAGAGGGATGCACCGACAGGATGGTATCGGTGAACTCCGACCTGCGGGGAAACGACAGCGGTGAGTGGGGGGGTAGAGGGACGAGCTGCCCCGGATGGCGCCAGACAAGGCCGTGCACGAAGGCGTGGGAGGGTGTCGGGGGGAGGCGCTCACCACTCAGCGTCCAGACCAGTCCCCCCAGGGACAGGAACCATGCCCAGCCCGCCCCCCGCCCAATGGGGCCTGCTCCCCAAGCTCCTCCCCCAGCCTGGGTCAGCCCCCGCAGCCTCCCGCGGCCTCTCCCCGGCCGGGGCAGGCACACGCCACCACCACCAGTGGACACCTGGCAATATCCGAGAACCCACCTGAGCCCATCCAGGCAGCCCAGGTGTCTGAGCAGCCCTGGCTCCGCCAGCTCGCCCTGCACCTCCCCTACAAGAAGGGCCACCGCCTCGCCGCGAGAGCCACAGGAGCCCCTGCCCCCCTCGCCCTGCCCTGGCCCTGACCCCCAGGAGCCCACCACCACCCACCTAGCTGCCCACTGTCAGCAGGGCCGCCCTCACCTACCCACGCCAGGGAAGCGGCCTGTCGCCCTGCACTCCCCAGCTGCCCTCTGGGCTCCACCCACAGCCCAGCCAGACCCCTGCACTGTCCACACCGCCCTCCGATCTGCTGCCTGCGGCTCTGCAGCGCACACAGGGAAGGGCTCGTGGAATCGACTCTCATGTGTTTCGTTATTTAAAACAAAAACCGTGACCTCAGGCTGGTGTAGACAAACAGTACGTTCCCACCAGTACAGAAAGAAAACCCTCCCTCCCCCACCCCCACCATCAAAATAAAAAGTACAGGTGCAGATTCAAATGTGTACTTGCTAACCAAACACAGCAAGTCACACGAGGAACACGGCAAAAGGAAAGCTAAGACATGGCGGCCGCCGGGCCATCTGAATATACTGACCGGAGTGAAACGAAGAAAATCTGGTCCCCAAAGGGATTCACTGCTCACGTGCTCCCTGTGCACCAGAGTCTAGAAACGCTGTGCCTTTGCGACCTGCCTCCGGCCCAGCGAGGCGCCCCGGCCGCACACCGTCCCTGACACAAGTATGCTCGGTGCCCGTGCAGCTGCCACCCAGGGCCCTCCCTCTGTGTGGGCTCTGCTCTCCGTCTCTGGGAACGTCATGGAAACGCGTCCCGGCCCCTGTGCTTTCAAACTGCTTCAGGCACAGCCACGAGCAGGCCTTCGGGCTGGGGCGCTGTGTCACCGCCCGCAGGGTCCTGTCCTGCCGCCAGGGGCCTCCCTCCCAGGCGCCCCCCGGGGAATCAGTGCAAACCCCCGCGGCAGCCACCCACCAGCAGACTCAGGCCTCTCCTGCGGTGCTTCCCGCCTCCGGCACAGACCTCGCCTCGTCTGCTTCCGTGCGTTCTGCTTGAGGCTCGACCACGCTGCACAGTTCCAGCTGCCGCGCAACCTGCGCCCATCACCCCGGGTTCAAGGGCACTGGCCGGGTGCGTGGCAGTAGGAGAGGCTGCAGGGCTTGTGGGGACCCCCCAGCGAGGACACCTCCAGCCAGCAAGCAGGCCTGGGACCCCACACCACCGCTCCTCCAGTCTGACCTGGAGGGGGCTCCGGGGTGGGAGGGTGGAGGGAAGCGGCCGGGAGGTCACGGGGGCTGAGCCCACGAGGGCCCTTCTTGCTGGCCGAGCCCATCCCTGGGGCAGGCCAGGGCGACCCCTCAGGCAGCAGTGCTGCCCCTCGCTCCGGACCCCAGGACGTGGTGGGCACCCTTCAGCAGCCACCCCAGGGAGCCCCACACGCTTCGCCCCCCACGCGCGTCCCAGGCGCTTCGGGACACGCCCCCCGACAGGCACGGCTACTCATCCTCAGGAGGAACGGCCCCCGCGTCCGCACGCAGATCCTGCCTGGCTCATGGGCTGTACAGACGGCAAGGACGCACCCGAGGTCTGGCGCTTGCCATTCAGGTGGCCCCCCTGCCTGGCCCCGCAGGGCGACAGGACCTGCCTCTGACCCTGGAACCGCAGCATCACCCCAAGGCAGGCCGTGAAGCCACAGCACCAGCAGACGGGGTACACTGGCCCGCACCCGGCCCGTGGGTGTCCTGTCCTCTCCAGACACCGTCCCGGCCCCGTCCTGCCCAATGGCCCCCGGGGACAGGGCACCCCCGGTCACACAGCAGAGCGGGCCTTCAGGGCGGGCCTCAGCACCCCTGGCCCCCTCTGTCTGTAAACTGGGGCAGTCACAGCACCACCGCCCAGGGTGGCCGTGGAGAGGAAACGGTTCACGCAGAAGCGCCGGGTCCAGCCTGACTTACCGAGGGCTCTGCCAACGTTGCCACCCCTGACTACCCCTTCTCACCTGCCGCTGCTGCGGCCAGCGCGACGAACAGCAGCCAGCGACATGCACGCCAGCCCCCTCAGTGAGGGGAAGCTGCGGGCCCGGCCGGCTCCAGCGCATCCGCAGAGACGGGGTGAGACACCCGGGTCATCCCCAAGGTCTGAGCCACGGCCAGGCACGCACTCGTCAGGGAGGCTCCCACTGCACCAGGGAGCCAGGGTCTTGTCCCTCCAAGGGGCTCATGGAGAGGAAGGGACACAGGAGAGCACCTGCTCATCCCCAGAGGAGGCCGGCACGCCCCCAAGCCCTAAGCAGGAAGGAGCAGAAAGGCGCGGAACACTGCTGCCACCGCGAGGTGGAAGACAAACCCGACAGACAGTGAGGTCACACTTCAAAGACACTGGACAGCTGCGCAGTGACACAGGCAAGATGCCCTAGGGCTGAGGAAGAGGCAGCAGCCGAGGGAGCAGGCCATCCATCTCCCGTGCTCAGCCGAGGCCTGGAGGCCCACTGGGGACCACACCGACTCTGCAGGACCCCGCACACACGGCCGTGACCCTACAGTCCACTTACTGACCCTGGGGCCATGCAGAGGCTGCAGAGTGACATCCCTGGTCTCTGAGCAGCCAGCCTCCTCCTCCAGGCCGCCGCAGGAAGGAAAGCCAAGCACCACCCACAGACAGCCACTGCAGCAGCAAAACAGACACTCTGGCTTCTCCGTCAGGAGCCGGGAGGCCCCCTGCCACCTTCGCCACCCCGCCCCAAGCCTGCTCCATCTGCCTGGACCAAAGAAGGGCAACCCCTCTCCACGTGCCTCCAAGGCCAGACAACGAGACAAGTACATGACATGAAAAAGCAGGAGTGGTAACCACAGGAAAGTGGGCAGACAGAAGCAGATACAGAGACGACCCAGATGTTAAAATTAGCAGAGAAGGGCTTTAAACACACATTATGAAGAAAACGTAAGTAACAGGGATGCAAATATGGAGACTTTTCAAAAAGGAGCTAAAATCCGTAAAAAAGGAATCAAATGGGTGCTCCAGAATGAAGACTACAGTATATGCGGACTTATGGCAGGCCCTTGACCAAGGCGGGCCTGGAGTGCGTGAGCCCACTTACACAGAGGTTTTCTTCAGTGAGTACACGCTACAGCGCTACGTGACCCGTGGTCGATGAACCCTCGGATGTGGCACCTCAGACTCAGAGGGCTGCCTGTAAGGTAGTACACGGACTTCCAACTGCATGGAAGCCTGGTGCCCCCAGCCCCACATTGTTCAAGGGTCACCTGTAACGTTTATGGCCTCATCCATCTGCAACGGACACAGCCTAACTGTTCCCACACAGTCAACGAACATCCCCATAAGGCAGATGCTTTCAATCACCTCTGACACAGGTCTCATGGCCCAGCATTAAATGTCCTGCCAGATCTACAAAACCGGCTTCAGAAAGAACACACACAGGCCAGTGCATTCCCCAGGATCCCCCTGCAGAGCAGACAAGAAGGAGACGCACCGTCTAAATGCTCAACAAAGAGGCTCTCGCGAGGGTTCACATCTCATCGGCAACATCCAGACTCTGGAGAACGCTACAAGCCAAACAGCGCAGGTCCTTCAAGAAGGAAAATTATGAAGAAAAGAAAAGGATGGAGAAAAACTTACGCATTAAAGGAACTTTACCTAAACAAAGACCCTGACGAAATAACAGGTACTACACTGCCCTCCTACTATGAACAAGTAGAAAGCTGGACAAGACACCTGAAGTAGGAGTTACCAGACACTACACAGAAGGCAGCACAGGAGAGCGATCCTGAGAAGGTAAACGAGCCAGGTGAGACCTATGACCTTCTCAGCTTTCTGCCCGGAGGCACGTTCCACACGCCAGTCCTTAGAGAGGACCAAAAGCCTGCATGTCTAGAAGGAGGGAAAAACCAAAGCTCAGGGAGGGTGAGGCTGCTGGAACTTGGGGGCAGGGTGCTGGAAAGGAGGAAGCTAGAGAAAGTGCACTCCGGAAATCTGCAAACAGATCCATTTGAGTTTTTAGCTAAAGATTAAGCTGCCCGTGCACGGACTGACAATCCACAAGGCCAGGCAGAGAATACCAGGGACCCATGAGCTGAACCCAGAGCTCACACGCAGCCTGGGCAACATTCAAGTTCCAACCAGCCAGCATGGAGAGACCTCGTCAAACACCAAATACACTCAGAGGAGGACACAGAAGGGTCACACCTTAGCAGGAGGGTTTAACCAACCCTAGAGTAAAGGCTACTCTAACCTAGGGGCTGGCAAAATACAGCCTGCAGTTGGCTGCCTTTTCTACAAATAAAGTGTTAATGAAACACAGTCACATCATTCAACTACATATTTTCTGTGGATGCTTTCAATATTAAACAGCAGAGTTGAGTGGTCACAACAGAGACAATATGGCCTACAAGCCTAAAATATTCACTATCTGGCATATTAAGAAAAAGGCTTTTTTTAACCAACGTTAAAAATGTGCCTACAAAGGATCAAGCTGCTCCACAGGTGATTAAACTAGTGACAAAAATTTAAATGAATTTTTAAAATTCAACACCCATTAAACGAAGACAACAAAATCCTGATATTCAACCACATAACACTGACACTGTCTTAACAATGAGTCAAAACTTACTAGATGGGGGCTTCCCTGGTGTTGCAGTTGTTAAGAATCTGCCTGCCAATGCAGGGGACAT